TGACATTTGCAAAAAACTGAAATACACTTTAGGTGAGTTCCAGTATCCATTTTGTACATTGACCACTTTGCATAGCTGATTCCTGTTAGTTTTTAACTACTCCTTTTTTTTATTAATATGAGTACTATATGTACTATATATACTTTGATATATTGTACACTGAAATACTGAACTGGCAGCCTTTTCACCTGTTGGAATACATTTAACATCTTATCCACCTAAATAGGCTCTTGAACCATCAGTGACAACGTTCTATGGTTTCTCAGGCATTATCTAGGATGCATCAACTGACCACCATAAACAAAATAGGTTAGTTCCAGATAAGGTGAATTGTAGCCCCATAATCATTAGATTAGGTTCAGATGAAGTGATTCAGGAAGTGAGAAGAGTGATCATAGTGAAGGAAGGATTAGAAATCCTCATTGTAGAAGTACCCCCAGGCTGACTGTTAAGAAAAAGAGATTATACAGACATGACTAAATATAACTGGGAAGTCAAAAAACTGTGGTATAAATGCAAAAATCATGTGAGTGAATATATCACATATAAAACACAAAAAATTTTAAATAAAAAAAATCCCTTGATTGTTTATCACAGCGCTACTGTAAAGTTGAGACTTTACACTTTTTTAATAAACAGTGGTAACCAATATAACATTTAACAGGAAAAAATGAAATATGAACAATGCTTCAAATTCTGAAAAATATCTTTTTGGTGTGTTTTTGTACTGGTTCTAAAGATAGATAATTAGGTCCTGCTCATAAATGCAGTAGAAGTCAGATACTTTCCAATTTTCTTATAGAAAGCATGTAGATTATGTTGCCAAGATGGCACCAACCACAAAAGGCAGAGAAATGTGACATTTTTAAGGTTAGGACTGAAAACAAAACAAATACAGTACTGTGCCATTTACTGTACTAGCCTTCCCATTGTTGCAGATGAAAAAAAGCATTTTTGCAACACAAGGCAATTTAGTTTTTTTTAGCAGGAAACCAAGTAATACATTCTTCATGGAAAAAACAAATACTTTCTCTTTATGAAATTAAAAATGAACTTCCATGGGTCTCCCAAGAGTTGAGCACTCTGAATCATACCACAGTCTTGACACTATGACCCCCAAATATACAGGTTCTGTGACTGATTAAGGTGGTAATTAAACTCACTTAGTGCCTCATTTGCAATAAATTAGCCTCAGAACCTGTGTAATTCATATGTGCTCAGTTTTAAAGGCAACTATACCCTCAAAACATTTCTACAAACTAACCAAAGAGAGCTGCCCATATCCCTACTACCCTACCTTTCTATCAATATCCACCACACCTATTCCCCCTCCTGATTTCCAATCTACTTCTCACCTCCCCACCATTCTTTTATCTTTTCATTTTAGCTGATCCTAACTTCTTAAGATTATTATCTTAACTTCCACCATTTCTATTCTCTGTATATCTTTTTCAAATGATGCATTACATCTCCTTTATCATAAACGCTGTCACAACAGTATAACTTCAATTCACATATGGTTCCTTATGTGTTTGTATTTTAGAAGGAAGAAATTGTAGCATAGCTATTTGTCCTATGCAACAAATGACACCAGAGCAAAGATTACATAGTTACATAGTTAGTCTGGCTGAAAAAAAGACAAAGTCCATCCAGTTCAACCATTAAAGGTATTCAACTTTACTTTTAGTTGCATGTCCATTGCTTTCTAGGCATACCTACATGCATATAAAATATCTGAGACCTAATTCTGGCCTTCCTTATTGCAATCTGATTTTATACTTTCTGTTCAATTTCTTCTTAGGGTAACACCTAAAGAATTTGTTCAGTCTGTATCCAATCAGGCAGGCCTTTTCATTACAGAAATGTTGGCATCCTAAAGAATAGTTTACAATTAGATTGTAGCATATATAGTACGTGTTAATTTGAAAATCAAGATGGTCTGCTATTAGAATGTTGATATTGTGCATAAAGCAATATGACTAGACTATAGTACTGCAACAGGGAGAAAGTGGTTTGCTTATGTGTAAAATTTCATTTAGACATAGTCTAAAGCTGGCCATAGATGTATCAAAATCCAGCTGGTTCAGTGGGGATCTAATCATTGACTTATCTCATACTAGGTTGTTTGAAAATTTTCCTTCAATCAGCACTGAAACACTTATCAGTATATTCTGAGAGCAAAGAAGTCCCCTCTGTCAGAATACAATGCCACAATGGGGAGGATTCCTCCATCCACCTCGCTTGCCTGGTTGAGGGAATCCGTCCATTTTTTATTTAATATACTGTTCAATGAATCCATGTATGGCGAGCCATATATACTGTATAGAGAAGAGTAATTTTACACCTACAAGCAATTATCAGAAGTTTGTCTTCTGTGAGTGTGTATAGCAAGCCACAATTCTTTAAAAACAAATCTAAGCAGTAAATATGGCAACAGTCTTGTTTTATCAATTGCTATTGATTATGAACTAAAAAGGCCAATGAATTAATGCATTATCATAGTATTGCAATTACAATCACAGTAGATATACTGATGTAGGAATGAATAGCTAGAGACAGGTTATTCCACTTCAGGGCACTGATGAAAAGCAATTGAGTTGGATGCTCTTCCACTAGCAGGTGTCTTGCCTTAGCAGCACTAACATTCAGATAACGGACGTGTGAAAACATTTGCATGAGCTCACAACATTGTGGCTTTACTGCCCAGTCACGCACAGAATGGAAGGCTTTTGTTTTGCTCTGTATTAAAAACCCCATTTATCTTCCAATAATTTTTAATGGCTGAATTTTCCAAAGTAATTTTTCTCTTGCCATCATTAACAAAACAACGTTTTGTTATCATATTGCACACCATGACTTTAAATTAGTCTAAATGACTTGTTCCATAAGTAAGAAAGTATAATATTTTAACTTGGCCAGTATGTGGACTATAGAGATGCTTTGTGGGTCTATATTAAAGAAATATTTGTGAAAAAACATGACAATTTCATGTTTAATAAACCACTTATTTTTGGTAAGAGGCTGGAATTAATGTAGGGCAGCACAGTGGCTAAATGGTTAGCACTCCCACCTGGCAGTACTAGGGATGTTGGTTTGAATCCCAACCACGGCACCACCTGACTGGAGTTTGCATGTTCTCCCTGTGCCTGCGTGGCTTTCCTCTGGGTACTCCAGTTTTCTTCCACATTCCAAAGATATGCCGGTAGGTTAATTGGATCCTGTCTAAATTGGCCCTAGTATGTGTATGTATGAATGTGAGTTAGGGACCTTAGATTGTACAACCCTTGAGGGTAAGAGACTGATGAATGTACAAGATATATGTAAAGCGCTGTGTAAATAGACGGCACTATACAAGTACCGGAAATAAATAAATAAATAATGTAGGGGAAGGGATCAAAGTTCTGCAGTGCTTACATTTCCATGGTGGTATATGAGGGCTGTACCTGAAGATGATGCAAACGTGGCCATAACGTTGTATTAACTTACATAAATCATTCAAATTTCACATGTTGGTAGAGTAACTCTTCCTTTATATAGTAATTCTTCTTCTTTTTCATTGCTGGTAATAAATGGATTTCAAACTGTCATGGATTCTGACATTGCACTTGTTTAGTGAGAAGAGGGGGGGGGGGGTTTAAGCATAGGGACTACAACTTTACAATTTTGGATTGGAAGCTCCACGAGCAGGGTTCTCCTATTCCTTCTGTACTGAAATGTATTGTAATTGTACTGTCTCCCTTATATTGTAAAGTGCTGCGCAAACTGTTGGCGCTATGTAAGTCCTGTATAATAATAATAGTAACTTTGAGTTCCACTCGCTGAAGATTCATGTTGGTGGTCAGTGTTGATGGTCTCCCACTGCATGGCTTTTCTTCAGTGCTGGTTTCCCCTTTAAATTTCTCCATCCATCTGTGTACATTGCTGTTGTCAATGGTGTCATAACATAAACATTCTGTAGCCTTCTGTAGATGTCAGTCAGCCTGCACTCCTCCTTCGTCAAGAAATCAGTGGTTGCACATTACTTCTGCTTGGATCCAATAGTTACCTGCTACAATGAAAAAGAAGCAGAAACGTTACCATAGAGGAAGAGTTACTGTACCAACTTGTGACATTTGAATGACCTATATAAGTTCATAAAAAAAAATGATGCCCACTTTTGCATTACTTTCAGTACATTCCTTGTAATTTAAAATATGTTTGACAGGTTCACTTAGTAGATATTCCTTTCCATTCGTCTAAATGAAATCTAAATATATTCTTTTTAGAAAAGCAAAAGTAGAAACAGTATGTTGTAATAAGTGTAGTATCTTGGTAAATGTATAGTATGCACCAAGGACTTTCTCAGTTTAGTTTTGCAGTGACAGAACAGCTGATAATCCTATGTGCACAGTTTTCACCCCATGACTCTGTTGATACTTGAAGGCCTAAAGAGAATCAGTAGACTGACTTTGCTGCAGGCAGTTTCACTTGAATAGTTTTGGTCAGTAAAAATGCCTCTTCTGCGAGCATATCATTCATGTAAGACCCATATCAGTGCTCATTTGGGTGGTCTGTTTGTTAGCCTAAGTAAGAAGCTGCAGTTATTCTTTAATTGCTTGAGTTGTTACAGGTCACCAGTGTCATAAATTACTAGTGAAAGTGGCCATTATATGATTCTTGCCAAAAGTACAAATTGCAGTGTTTGAAGATGCATTTTACAGTAAAACCCAGAAAGCACATTGTATCTCAAAGAGCACTTTAAAGCTTTTCACTCTCCCATGGTGAATATTTTATTAACCCTGGTCTTATATAGCTGGCTTTATACTGCCTTAAATTCTACAGTAACATAAACAGATCTTTACTATTATATAATGTATTTGCACATACATAAGAGTTGTCAATGTAGCAAGTTATTATATTCAAGTCTTTGCCCTAACCAGGGGCGGACTGACCATTCGAGCACTTGGGCACTGCCCAAGGGTCCGGGGTCAGTAGGGGGCCCCATGAAATGCCCCTGGTACCTTTTATAGGCTTTTTTTGGGTGTGCTTTAAGTGTGGGCAAGGACACAGGGGCCCCATGATCCCCTATTGCCTGGGGGCCCCATGAGTTGTCAGTCCGCCCCTGGCCCTAACAGTTAACAGGTTAGGATTCCTTTTTGCACTTTTAAAATAGATTAATGAATTATTAAGCCATGATACAGATACTTATAGCAGCCAGTAAACCCATAGCTGCTTTAGGTTGAGTGTCCATGGCTATAGAAATACAGCAGGTCACACAATCCATTCACTTTGAATGTTCGTTTGGTAAGGAGCACCACTATACAAGCAATGTAGTCTACTATCAGCTAAGGCATTCAGGTCATTGAGAAGCAACCCAACCACCTGCATCCCCTTCAGGATGACTGGATCACTTATGCATTTTATGCTTTTTGTCCTGTATGTCTAAAGACTCTTATTATGCCTATGCATAGACCTATGCTAATTGTGACTGCAGTTATGATAATTAATTGTGCATCATTTACATTTACATGCTTCTTCATGTTACTATGGGTAAAGTGTCTAGAAGGAGCATCCACAGTCATTTTAAAGCTGCCTAATTGGTGCTGTATTATGCTTGGATTGCTGCTCGGTGAACATTCCACAGGTGTACTTTGAAAATACTTCAATAAAACTCTATTGAAAATGAGAAGCACCCAATCTCCATGTACTAAGAAGCATGGACTGAGGTGTTTGGCCCTGAGCATGTTCTAGGATTTGTGGTTGGAGCCCTAGGCAAGGGTTTGAAAAATTACAAAGCATCTTTCTTTTGATGCCCCTGAGGGTTCAGCCTTAGAGTAGGCAGAGAGATTTTTCATTTGCCTGCAACAAGTCACCATCCCATTGTAGTTTACCCTATTAAATTCAGACCAATTGCTTATATTCACTGAAATTTTATGATGATGAGTGATTTAAAAAATCCATAACAAACAATCAGAATTTCATCTTTCAGTGTAGTTTTCTGGTTATGAACTGGCAAATGAAATCTGTTTTCTAAGTTGACATGTTCCATACTCTGGCCTTTGCAGAAGGTTGGCCATGCACAGGCATCCAGAAGGACAGGAAGCTGCACAGGGGGGGAGGGGGGGGGGGGTTTAGTTCATGTTTTGCTGGTACCCTGTGCAACTTTTATTCCGGACTTAGAGGATAATCTGTTGTGTGCATTTGAGGTGAACGTTTGTTCCACACTTCACTAAATGATCGAATGAGATTTTAAAGACATATTGGAAATTTTATTTTAGTTTGTTTTAAGTGTAAATGTTTTTAAATTGTTGTTTTATCTATAAATAAACATGTAATTTATGGCAAAGGATTTCCAGAGCACCCATGGCTTAGCAAAAGGGACACAGAAGACACTGGCTGTTTTGTAGCTCTTCTTGTCTGACTGAAATCTCTGACTCTTGTTAGATAAGGGATGATTCGTTGCTGTAAATGTATGGACCTGACAAAAAAAAAAGCAAAAACAAAAACTTTTTTTTTAAGAAATAGTAGTTTTCTAAGCCTTGACCAAGTGTTTACTATCACTTGATTGTGATAATCAGCTATGATCTGATTATAAAAAGTAATGTTTGATGGTATTGTATTGCTTGCATATAATAGTCTGAGTCTAACCCATCCCAATTAGGGACAGGCATATATAGTGGCATGTATGGTGCTGAAAGTGTAATTAATTGTTTTGACAAATTGCACCTTGCTGTGTTTAATGGAAATATATACAGAAATATATAGGCTGCCAATTCTAATCTCCTGAAAATGTGTATTACCTGTCCGTCTCTAGCATCCAAACTGGAATGAGCAAGGAACAGGTGAAGTCAGAGTGTTAACCACTGCAAGTCACTATCTCAGAAATAATTGCGGCTAGAGGATTATCACCCAGGCAGCCAGAATTTCTGTCAGTAAAAATAAAATTATATTTTGAATATAGTAGTAGGCCAGTCTGTACATACAGACATCAGCAACGTGTTGGCCATAGATTGAAAAGACCTAGGAAGGATCCAGATATTTGTCATTTCATGATCAATTATTTCCCATTTCATTAGGTCATTTCCCAGTGACTTGGCAACTTGACTTGATAGCTAGATAGATTTTGAACATTTCAGATTTACGCTTGTAAATGTGCAGGTAAAGGTTTATATAAATAAAGTAGCCAATAGCATATTACAGAAAGCTTGACTGTAAAAAAAAAAATTAGGATGTTTGAGTATCTTCTGCATAAAACATTGACTAATTTTACATACTCAAAAGACTTGGAGTTTTTTGTTTCTTTGATCTATACAAACATTTCTGGGTGTTGTTTTACAATACTGTAACAGATTTGATTTTGGTTAAACTATATAGAAGTTGTACTGCTGCTTGTAAGTAACTCATAGTCTATGATTTATTTGATTAAATATGCGTTTTGAAATAATTCACTGTTTTCATTGAGTATGTTTTGTACACTGTGATGGATGGAGGTAAGTCTTTCAAAAACATGGGTGAATTATATGTTAACCATTTTCCAATTTGTCTTATATGCTACAGCTGGATTTTGGCTGTGGTTGAATGCTACGATCTGACTATTGTCAGGTTGGGAACTGGGAAGATGGGTGAGAAATTGTCAGCTTTGGGAATAGGGGCATTTTTTTTCCTCCTAAGTAGATGTAGAAATACAAAATGAACCCTATTGAGTCTTTCACCAACAGCCAACGCATACAGACAACAAGCTGAAGTAGAAATAAATCACAAAATGCTATGCTATGCACACAGTAATTCCTTGCACGTGGTTTGAGACGCAAATAACCTGTAATAATCCTTCATGGTCATCAGAAATAAGAGGAAGATAGTTGAAAAACACCTAGTGAAAAATAATCATTCAAGGTTCCATAACAGCATTGTGAAACCTTGGTTCATGGCCTTCAAAAACCTTTAATTTATTCAGTAAATATCAGATAGTTTTTGGACATTGCGGATTTACACTTCTACATGTTCAGGTAAAGGTTCATATAAATAAAATAGCCAACTGCAACTCCAGATTTAGAATCCTGAAGGGAACAGAGATGTTCTGTAGTTCACAGAGGTGATCTGAGCAGGGTTGATAACACTTGGAATGCAAATGTAGTAGAGACAGAGTAGACTAGAAGCTCTGAGTTCACTGGAATTTAGGTAGGGTCAACATTTATCATTTACACATATTTATACTGATATAGAAAACACTTTTAAATTTATATTTAACAGACCACAAATAAGGTAATAAAATAAATTCTTTATTAGGTTTTATGCACACCTTAAGTAAACAGCTCCTAAAACTCATGTACATAGATCTTTGCATTGCCCATATGCTAGCCAGGTGAAATCCTGTAGACTTGAAATTGACCGTAGATGCAGGTACATGAACATATATCATGCCTGAAGCCATATTCTTAAGTGTTGTACATGCAATGGGATATCTTTCTAGCAGGTGAAAATAGATTTGATTACAACATTGATGGCTTTACTTCCTGATGACAAGTATGTCTCCACACAGTAACAATTGTATAAATGTTTACTTCCCACTAAAAACCTATTTAATGGCTGATTGCTCCAGCATACCTTGAGGGCAGAACTGAATAGGTCCTAAACTGACAGACATTTCGTTATTAGTGGAATGGTAAAAGGATGTAGTGTATTGCAAGTGCAGATAGGTGTGTGGGAAACTGAGGTAGTTGCAGTTGAGGTGCAGAACATACCACTGGAAATTAAAAGTGTCTTTATGTCCTGGAGATATCCTAATATGCACTCTGACCTTTTCTAGCCTCTCTGCCGGACGATCTGAAGACTCTCATTCAGGAGGCAAAGGAAATGAAGTGGCCCTTTGTGCCTGAGAGGTGGCAATACAAACAGACAGTCAGCCCAGAAGACAAAACAAACCTCCAAGATCTGATCAATCCAAGACTTCATGAGTTACTGGTATGAAATAAATCACAAGTCTGAAAAAAATGTTATATTGGAAAATTTGTAGTCAACTGATTCACTTATTAGATCATACTTGCACTGAAACTGTGGGGGCAAGAATCCAAAAATCAACTGAAAAATTTTAGGGGACCCGAAAATGGTGTGCTGTAATCATATTAAATGGTTCTGAAGATTCTGATTTATTTTTAATGAATCATTCATGTGCTGTATATTTAGTGCTTTAACATGAAAAAATTGGAGGGGTCACTTAAAATATACTCAGGTCTCCCACAGTAGAACAGAGGCTGCCAGTCACAAGAGCACAGTTCCACGCACACCCACAATTCAAGCTCATTCTAGGGGATGTCCTTTTTAGTATTGCTGAAGAGCTTTATGCTTCTAACTGGCAATGCAGCAAGACTAAGGCTAGGTTCACATCTGTGCAGGTGGTGCAGTTGTGGATCCGCATGAAAATCCGTGCAGCCGCACCACCCGCACAGAGAATTGCGGACCCGCCGGCCACACTGGAAAATGCAACCGTACTGGGAACTGAGGTTCCTGTGCAGGCTGCGTTTTCAGAAGAAGTGCAGGGACTTCTTCCCTGCGTGTCACGGGGCACGAGAGTCCATTCAAATGAATGGGCTCTCGTGCCCGCCGCAAAACACGGCCGGCACCACCGCATACAATGAGGAACAGAAGTATTTGAACACCCTGCGATTTTGCAAGTTCTCTCACTTAGAAATCATGGAGGGGTCTGAAATTCACATTGTAGGTGCATTCCCACTCTGAGAGACAGAATTAAAAAAAAAATTCACGAAATCACATTGTATGATTTTTAAAGAATTTATTTGTCTTGCACTGCTGAACATAAGTATTTGAACACCTAAGAAACAGCAAGAATTCTGGCTCTTAAAGACCTGTTACTGTGCCTTTAAAAGTCCAGCTCTACTCCACTCATAATTCTAACTTAGTAGCACCTGTCTGAGCTCATGAGTTGCATCCCAAGAACACCATCCCTACTGTGAAGCATGGGGGGGTGGTAACATCATACTTTGGGGGTGCTTTTCTGCGAAGGGGACAGGACGACTGCATTGTATTAAGGAGAGGATGAATGGGGCCATTTATTGTGAAATTTTAAGCAACAACCTCCTTCCCTCAGTCAGAGCATTGAAGATGGGTCGTGGCTGGGTCTTCCAACATGACAACGACCCGAAGCACACAGCCAGGATAACCAAGGAGTGGCTACATAAGAAGCATATCAAGGTTCTGGAGTGGCC